TTATCACAAGGTGGTCTACGAAAAACAAAACAAAATAATATATAAAATGTGTCGGATTAATAAATAGAATTGCTTTCTTTATCTTTACATAGAAAGATGAGCAGATAAGAAACCTCTGGAATCTATGATGAGAAGGATTTCGCTTAAAGCCACTATTCAACCTTGTTTGATCAGCAATCTCCTTCGTGGCTGAGTCAGTATAAGGACCGCGGATCAAACGATGCTTTCTCCTACCAATGAGGACATAGGTTTGCATCCTGCCGGAAAACGTATATTTTCTTTAATAAGATTATATACGCTCTCCGCTACTTTCTCAACGTGTAAATTACAAACTGGAGATACTAAAATGAAACACGTACAAAAATCTACATATCTATAAATTGTTTTAACGGAGGACGAAAAGTGCGACACCGAAATCTGAAATCGCATTGGGATAACGAATGATGCTTTCCAAAAGCTGAGAAAGTTATTAAGAAACAGAAAAATATCGTTAGAAACAAAGAAAAAAGTCATGGACTGTTATGTAATATGAGTCAATGCCGGTCAATTTCTTCAAGGATGAAGAACAGACTTGAAGCAACAGAAATGGGTTTCTACAGTAATAGGTTGATAATACTACTGACGGAACATTCGTATAACGAAGTTTTAGAGAAAATAGAAATAAAAAACGACTTATACTTTTCTTTATTTCTAGGGCACATAATGAAGAAGGTTTTGACAATTTGATACTCATAGGATAGATTGATGGCAAGAGAGGGTATATGTGGAAATAGCGCCTTGTTTGCACAGTGAGAGCAGCAAAACTGGCGCGTGTAGTCTAAAACGTCAATGAGGTGACCACAATAGTACCAATTAGAAGCACGTATGACAAGCCTAAAGATATATTATGCTGAAAGTGTGGATAATTTCCTGAATATTCGGTACTGTAAGTGATAATAAATATGCTGTTTAAATACGAAATCGGAGCGTTTATCTCAATATGAGTATCTACAAAAAATAATGTTTATGTGATAAAAAAAACATGTTGAATTAATAAAGAAAACTTTACTTTTTTACAAGTTGTACGTATATTTACAAGCATCTTTTAATTAATAACAATTTTATTGTAAACAAGCATAATGAAATTTGACATTCTAAATATAAACCCAGATTACAGCAAATATGTACACAGACTTACATGGTAGCAACTCTGATTTAACTGTAAAGTTAATTTAGTAATTTTACAATCAAGAATTGTTACTATAATAAATTCGAGAAACATTAGCTGATTTGTATTTATATATAAAGTTTTATGTACTTTCCAAAGCGTGGATTGCACGTTCAATCATAGGAAACGAAACTTTAATCTACATGTCTTTTGCGATTCTACGGCATCTGTATTTGACAGAAATCCGTTATGGTAAAAGTGTATTGAGCTGATATCATGGTTTTCATTGTTAAGACACGCCCAGGAAGAAGAAGTTACCTTTTGTCAATGTGATAAGCACGTTGCCTATTCAACAACGCCTCTTTGTCTGTATGGTTTCCTGTTATTGTTGTTTATATGATGATCCATCAAGAAATATCAATGGGCTCCATCTTGTTGGAAATAAACCACCCCCTTCCGGTCAAATCGTCGAAGAATTCTTGGCAGCATGTAACGTAAGGAATTATTTGGTTTATGCTATGTTTCTAGTTTAACCTTGGCAGCATCTTGTGATTATTCTACCTGGAAAAATTCTGTGAGGAGATTATCCAACATCCACTGCTATATAGGAGGACTGGTATCACATAACAGTTCAGCACTCTTTCTTTTTCCTAAAACTTTTTTCCTGTTTCTTAATATTTTGCTTAGCTTCTGAAAGTCATCGGTTTTCGGTGTTACATTTGTCGTCGTCTTTTGAAACGTTTCTAAGCTATTTGTCTTTTTGGGGTTTTTTTGTTTTGTTTTGTTTTATACAGGTCGTGAAGACAGCCAAATAGTTAGCAAATATGTCTCCCTCTAAATCTTTAGCATCGTTAGTTTCTGCATTAGTTTTCTGTCATACTTTCCTTAGACTTTTGAAGACATTTTTATTCCAATGCACCTTCGGATTTCGGTGTCACATTCTCCACCCTCCTTAGAATACTTTTTACATATTTAAATTTTTGACACGCTTAATTCTGGTATCTCCAAGTGGTAGTTGGGCAGCTCTTTTTGCTGGTAATAATATTCTAGTGTTAGGAAATATCTAAGTCATAGACTATATAAATACCCAAGCAGTAAGGATACACCAGCACTCGGTATCCGAGGTAAACAACTACCGTTGGTGAACTGATAAAATACAAAGTACCAATTCATAACAAATACATTCTGTCTTGATGATTAGTACTTTTTCTCGCTTGCCTTTAAGATATTCTGCAGGAATTTCCGAAGTCTCCTTTTCACGTCTGCTATCGATATTGTGCCATCCGCATATGTTATGTAGTTAAGAATAAAACTAATCTTAATTTCTAATCAATTAAAAATCTCTTAATTAATTTCTATCTGTATTTAGTCTGACTATTAATTACTTGCATAATCTGTTCTAGAACAAAGAACTAGTTGTCCAAACATTGATACTTTTTTAAAGATAACAATTAGGGAAATTAGTACTTAAAGACAGATAGTTCTTTTTCTGCAATTTGTTACCGTAGCTTCACCTTTTTTTTGTTTTGCTAAGTTTTTGTCAGGATATTTAATTAAGAAATTATTCTTGTTTTATGCGTTGTTAATCCAGTCAGGGTGCTCATCTTAGTTGTTATACACAGAACATTTCGACGGTTGTAACATACGGCGTTTTTCATGTTTCTCCCCTCCTGCTTGTTATTTGAGTCAGAATTAACACTTTATTAAATGTACAGGGGCAGATTGCTCTCACTTTGCTTCCCATCTTAGGGAATATTTCGCATCCATTAATACTGACCAGTTGTATTCACCTGGGTGCCTCGTGTTCATTTCTTGTGCAGGGGACTTTTCAGCACAAGAAGAGTCAGGAACTTAACTCACATGGCATAGTGAATTCAAGTGTCATTTAAAAATCTGTCTGTTATACTAGTAGTTTTGAGTTCAATCCCTGGCTTTGGTAGTTACATGATCAGATTCACTGAAAGAAAAACAGATAATCGACACACAGTAAAAAGAAATTGGTACTCACAAAAGAGACTAAACGCAAAGTACTAAGAAATCATGAAATTAAGTTAGAAATAAAGAAAATAGACATAAACTACCATGTGATATAAATCCTCCAATATGTCTGTTAATGCTGGACAATTCCTCCACAGAGAAAAAAATTTGGTTTCTTGTTTTTTCTTTTTTTTTAGCGGTATATCAACATCTATGCGTATTTTAATACAAAAATCTAAATATTTTGTGCCTAATTTTTATTTTATATTATTTTGAAAATAATAATGATATTCTTGGTATAAATCTTACTGGGAGAGAGAAGAAATGGATTCATGCTTTTCGCAAGGGTATGTGAATCTAACGAACCCAACTGGAATTGAAACTCGGTTCTTCGATTCACATTTCCGAGCCATTATCCATTACACCACCCGCACATCCAAGCTTACAGCACCTGATATTCCCAAGTGGTCACCCATTTAGGTACTGATCAGGCTCGACGTTGCTTAATTTCGTCGATAGGTAAAGGAGAATTGGCAACAGAGATGTGAACACTACAGGTGAGCAACGGCAAATATTGAAGAAAATGGAAAGAAAAAGGCTACTTGTACTTAGACTCAGAAAAAAGGTTTGAAATGACACTCGGAGAAAATGGCACTCAGTCAGTCAGTCAGTTATGTGCCATGCGTGATACACGCTTAGGTGATAACGAGGCAGATTTTTTCCCGCAGCAGGTTGCCATTTCTTTCTGCGGTAGACCAGTTGCCATCCAAAGCTATAGAACCCGGTCTGTCCTGCTACTTACCCATACCTGGGTGAAGAAGAAAAGGATTCATACCTTTCCCAACGGTATTAGCATGTAATTAAATGTAATGGATTCGACTGTAATTCGAACTCGGCTCTCCGATTCCTCAATTCAAGCCGCTCACAGGACGTATTAAAAGGAAGACGGTAAAAAAAATTACGTTGCCTACGTAACAGGCTTGTGTAAACGTTTGGCAGAACAAGACTGGTAAGTGGTAATAAGTGGACAAACAGTGCTTGCAATTACATAGAAAAGGAAGTGGTCGACAGACGTGTCCCCGATGTCTTGAAGAAACACAGCACGCAAACGACTAAAAAGTAGACCACTTTTATAGGTTTCTGTCTAATAATCTACGTGTCCCCGATGTCTTGAAGAAACACAGCACGCAAACGACTAAAAAGTAGACCACTTTTATAGGTTTCTGTCTAATAATCTACATGTTTCCAATTATGTCTGCTTCGAAATTATAACGTATGTAACCAATAAATCAAATATTCAACTGATTCAATTTGAAAAAATTCCGCTACAAAATTTTTACATGAAATTTAATAAATGCGTTTCATAAAATTGTTTCCCTCGAAATTAAAAGCGTAAGTACGAAAATTAACGGCGAATGATGAAATATGTCAAAGAATAAAAAGAATACAGAAAAGAAAAATATAATCGAGAGGAGAAATCGTCGATTTTACAATCACTTTTGAATAAAGAATATACGTGTGGTAGTTTGTTTTTTTAAATTATTAAATGTTAGTGTGTTTTGTTTTTATGGAATAATATACTGTGGCGTTATTTAAATCAAAATTTTAAAAATTCAAAAAAACTTGATAAATACAAATCTGGTGATTCTTGAAAAATATACAGGAAGTCAAGATAATTTGATCGTTTAAAAGTATTTTTTTAAAATATCTCCCAAAAGTATAGTATCTAACATAATCTTCAAATGCTTGTTGAATTGATTTTTTTTACCATCTCAGCTATGCCGACTCGAGTACAATTTTCATTTTATGTGTACTTTTTATAATAGCTGTAATTTCATCTTGTAATAATACCGTTGTAGGCACATTATATTTTAAGAGTTTTCTTTCTTTCGATTTTCTTCCTTTTTCGTCTTTCGAATTACTTTTCCTTCCTTCCTTCTATCCTTCCTTCCTTCCTTCCTTCCTTTCTTTCTTCCTTTCTTTCTTTCTTTCTTTCTTTCTTCCTTCCTTTCTTTCTTTCTTTCTTTCTTTCTTCCTTCCTTTCTTTCTTTCTTTTCCTTCATTCTTTCATTCGTTTTGCTTTATTTTTCGTCTTTCGAATTACTTTTCCTTCCTTCCTTCTATCCTTCCTTCCTTCCTTCCTTTCTTTCTTCCTTTCTTTCTTTCTTTCTTTCTTTTCCTTCTTTCGTTCATTCGACTTGCATTATTTTTCGTCTTTCGGATTACTTTTCCTTCCTTCCTTCCTTCCTTCCTTCCTTTCTTTCTTCCTTCCTTCCTTTCTTTCTTTCTTTCTTTCTTCCTTTCTTTCTTTCTTCCTGTCTTTCTTCCTTTCTGTAGAATAACAATACAATAAACGACACTTACCGGCGTAAGAATTCCAGCTAGCGTCCAGCTGGCAGACAAAAATAAAGCAGGTTGTAACTTAATACAAACCCCGCAAACTAACTGAAATTAAGCTGGTATTTATATAGAAATACTTCCACCAGGTACCAGCAGCCAATCAAAGCCCAAGCAATGGACTATCCCACTTTAGCATAATGAGATGCTCCATTGCACCATAAATAACTCTTCCTCAATGTTGAATCAGTCTTCACTCAGCTTGCTCCACAACTGAGTGTTTATATTGACCACGTATTGTTCGACATGGCGCTGCGAACAGGATTTATGACACCTGAAAATTGGGAACTCTTCTTCATTGAAGCAGGCATATCCACCGACTCGGCCAAAACTCATGCAACAAGGTTTGCGGACGAGAAGCTGACAATCGAGAGCCTTCAAATGCTGGATCGATCTATGCTTAAGGAGCTGGGAGTCACATTAATGGGAGAAGCCCTGTGTATCATTAAGCAGGCTAAGGAATCCGCCACCCAGACAACCCGCATTCAGGCACTAGCAGCCAAACCTCCTCATCTCAATCTCGAGATGACACCACAGCAATTCAGGAAGTTCCGAATTGACTGGGATGTCTTTTACCAAGATGACAAATATGCCAAACTCCCAAGCTAATATTCACCTATACAATTGTGCTGATGAGGCTGTGCAAAACGCCATAATCAACACACCCCTGACTTCTTTACCACTGATCCAGATAATCTACTTGACATGGTAGAAGTGTTGGTCACCCAGAGGTCAAGTCCTATTGTCCATCGCCTTGCTTTTGCCTCCATGTCTCAGGATGCTGATGAGCCAATACAAAGTTACCTTGTCCGCCTCAGAGCCGTAGCCGTTGATTGTAACTTTACCTGCCCCTCGTGTGAACATGACCTGTCTGATATATACATCAAGGACCAGATCATCCGTGGAATAGCAAATGACACACTCCAGGATGACCTACTGGCCAAAGCTGGGGCACTTAAATCCCTTGAAGAAAATATCCGTCATGCTGAGGCATTTGAATCAGCATTGCGGGACCAAACCTCAATGGCCAGTGCTTCAGATACAGCTGCTGCTCTGCTATCAACATACCGCAGACAGAAGGGTTCACCACAAGCCAACGAGGCGATCCGTACCAGTACCTATTGCAACTGCAATGTTAAATCAAACCACCAGGCTTGCTTAGGTTGTGGCAGCCACCAGCATGGCTCCTCAGGAACTGAATCACGCCGGCTAAAATGCCCAGCATGGGGACAAACATGTAGTAATTGTGGGAAGCCCAATCACTTATCGAGGGTATGCCGGGCTAAGAAACCAGCTCAAGCGGTCAGGAAAAGCCTAGAGGCTAATGAAGCCGCCATGGACACACTTATCGCCCACATCACATTCAATCAAACGACAGGCACGTATACATCTAAAGACACAGGTCAGATAAGGGAAATTGATGCATATGTTGTTCCATTTTCGCCAAAACCGGATCCCAGACAAATTAAGAATATCCCCAGAAATCACAGCACTAGGATGACAATCTTTCCTGACAGTGGGGCCACCATATGTCTCGGGGGACTTAAGCACCTTCTGAATATGGGGCTCACTATCAACAACCTCATTCCATCAAGAAAAGTCGTCCGAGCTGTGGGAGGCTTTACGCTTGTATGTCAGGGTTGGCTCCCCGTGGAATTCATCGTCCAAGGAAGAACAACTAAACAAGCCCTATACATATGCAAAAAGATTCAGCGGCTATACTTCAGCAAAGCAGCCTGCATTGATGTAGGGATACTGTCCAAAGACTTCCCGAAGCCGACGACTACAATATTACCCCAAACAACAATGCAACACATGCCCTCGACAAGCACACATAAAAAATCGGACGTAAGCCCTAAACAATGCAAAGTCGAGGGACAACTTCCAACACGCCCCAAAAAACTCCCTTTTCTTCCAACAGAACAAAACATTGATAGGCTCAAGAATTGGCTATTGAATCAATTTGCCGAAACGGCGTTCAAGAACAATGGTGAATTCCACCGATGTCTGGCCCCACTGCACATATACACCTCAAAGAAGGAGCAGTCCCCAAAGCCAGACATAACCCAATTCCTGTGCCTTTTCACTTCAAAGAGCCCGTAAAACAGGCCCTTTGGGAAGATGTGAAAAGGGGTATCATAACCCCAGTACCCGTTGGCATGCCCACTGATTGGTGTAGCACTATGGTAATTACCGCCAAAAAAATGGCAAACCACGAAGAACCATAGACTACCAACACCTGAATTCACAGTGCAAACAGGAAACACACCATACAGGGTCACCATTCCAGCTAGCACTACAAGTGCCACCTAAACAAAAAAAAACAGTGTTGGATGCTGTTGATGGATATCATTCCATCCCCTTAGATAAAGAGTCCCAGCCACTCACCACCTTCATCACAGAATGGGGAAGGTTCATGTACCTGAGGATGCCACAAGGTTACCTAGCATCTGGCGATGCCTACACCCGAAGGTATGATGAAGTAATAAAAGACATCCCCCGCAAAGTAAAAAATCGTGGATGACACCCTACTCTATGACTCTGACATCGAAGGAGCCTTTTTCACACCTTCGATTTTCTCCTCCATTGTGCAAAAAACGGCATCGTAATAAATAGAGAAAAATTCCAATTTTGCCAAGACACGGTGCAGTTTGGGGGCCTCCAAATAACATCTTCTGGTGTAACCCCTTCTAAATCCATGCTGGAGGCAATATTGAGCTTCCCAATACCAAAAACACTCACCGATGCCAGATCATGGTTTGGGCTGGTCAACCAAGTCGCTTGGGCATACTCACTAAGCCCAGTCATGCTTCCATTTCGTGATCTCGTAAAACGAGACTCACACTTTACATGGAATAAAAGCCTTGAGGATGCATTCCAGCAGTCAAAGAAGGTCATAGTTGACTTAGTCCGAAAAGGCATCGCAACATTGCAAAAAGAAAGAATAACCTGCCTTTGCCCCAGATTGGAGCAAAGACGGAATGGGCTTCCTACTTCTGCAGAAGTATTGCTCATGCACCACTGACAAAGCCCCAGTTTGCTGCCCTGAAGGTTGGCGCCTGATATTTGCTGGTAGCAGATTCTGCATTGATGCTGAACGCAGATATGCACCTATTGAAGGCGAAGCAGCAGCAATTGCATGGGCATTGGAAAAATGTCGGATTTTGTAATGGGTTGCCCGAATCTCATAGTGGTTACAGATCATGAACCACTAAAAAGGATTATTCGGAGATAGAGACCTTAGTAAAATCCAAAACCCCGATTATTCAGGTTAAAGGAGAAACCCTCAGGTACAGATTCACCATTCAGCACTGCCCTGGGAAATGGCACAGAGCCTCCGATGCTGTCTCTCGTAACCCAGCAGACATCTCACAGGCACTCCTAAATGTATTCACTGCTGAACCCTCTCAATCAGACATCATAGAGTCTGACAACATGGATGACTGGGTCAAATCAAAACCTTATTAGGAACATTCGGTGCAAATGACAACCTGGAGCTCATCTCACCAGACGTTATCCGTACGGCGGGACGCAGCGACCCGCAATACAAAAAATTAATTGAAGTAATACAAAACGGATTCCAAAGAACGCGCATCCTCACTGCACCTGAAATCCGCGAATATTGGGAAGTGAGGCACCGCCTAAGTGTTGACGACGGGTTAGTGCTCTTAGATCAAAGAATTGTTATCCCCACCTCACAACGCGCAAAAATATTACATAGCCTACATTCTGCACATCAAGGCGAAGTTGGCATGAAGGCACGTGCCAATGAATCTGTCTATTGGCCCGGGATGAATGCTTCAATTCGTAACATTAGAGCAGGTTGTACGTTCTGCTCAAAATTGCCCCAGAGTCAACCAAAAGAGCCAATCAATTTGACACCATCTCCTGATTGGCCATTTCAGCAAATCGTCATGGACATCTTCCATGTTGGAAACCATGGTTACTTAGCATGCGCTGACAGGTTAACGGGCTGGCTGAATCTATACCACTTGAGCCACGGAGAAGCTAATGCCTCAAGGATTATTTCGATTTGCCGAGACATATTTCAAACCTACGGGGCTCCTGAGGAACTCAGCAGTGATGGTGGGCCACCCTTCACATCTCTTCCATTCAAGCAATTTTTTGCAAGACTGGGCTGTTAAACAAAGGTTATCATCTGCTGGTTACCCACAATCCAATGGTCGAGCAGAGCTCGCTGTCAAAACAGCCAAAAGAATCATAAATGGCAACACAGGAGCCCAAGGATCGTTGGATAATAACCGTGCAGCAAGAGCCATCCTCCAATACAGGAATACGCCTATTCAAAACATTGGGCTATCCCCGCTCAACTACTACTCCACCGCCGACTACGTGACTACATACCATCCCACCCCACACTCTATAAGCCACACGCGAAGTGGATAACCGCAGCCCAAAATCGTGAGATAAGTCTGTCCTGGCGGAACGCACGTCTCATAGAGAGATACAACAGAACAGCACACACTTTAAAACCCCTTCAAAAAGGACAAATAGTGGCACTACAAAGACCAACAACCCGTCGATGGGACACAACAGGTCAGGTCATTGAAATCCTCCCCAACCACCAATACCGTATCAGAGTTGACGGATCAGGTAGAATTACCTTACGAAATCGCCGATTTCTCAGGAAACTGGATACACCAACAATTCCAGTTCCAAGACCTAGTGCCTTACCTGAGATCCCTACACCATTGCCACAAACATTCGACGCTGGAATACCATCAAACACTGCTCAGCCGTCTACAATAACACGGACAAAAACCCCTCGGGCATTGTCCAGACTACTTCCACACAACCAGCCAGGTTTGAAGGAACAAATCCCTCCCCAAAGGCCACTACCAACACGCGATGGGGGGGAAGGAGATGTAGAATAACAATACAATAAACGACACTTACCGGCGTAAGAGTTCCAGCTAGCGTCCAG